TGGTGGTGGTGGTGGTGGGGTGGCGGTGGCGGTGGCGGTGGCGGCGGTGGCGGTGGCGGTGGTGGTGGCGGAGGCGCTGGTGGCGGTGGCGGTGGCGGTGGCGGTGGCGGTGGCGGTGGCGGTGGCGGTGGTGGGGGTGGGGGTGGGGGTGGGGGTGGGGGTGGGGGTGGGGGTGGGGGTGGGGGCGGTGGTGGTGGTGGTGGTGGGGGTGGTAGTGGGGGTGGTGGTGGGGGTGGGGGTGGGGGTGGGGGTGGGGGTGGTGGTGGTGGTGGTGGTGGTGGTGGTGGTGGCGGCGGTGGCGGTGGTGGCGGTCGTTGTGGTTGTGGTTGCTAACGGCTGCATAACGTCCTGGTGGTTTCAGCATGCTGGAGCACAAACACACGGACAGGCATATCTGTGCAGGACAGTGGCTGGATTCCTGTCCGCACTTGTTGGTGTCTTTTTGCCCAAGCTGTGACAACATGCAAAAGCGTGAAAACATCCTCTGGGGGCGCAATCCGGCGACAGGCACGACATTTTCCCGCACGGACACCGCCTGAGAACGTTTTTTGTGCGAGAGAAGTCAAATTGCTTACTGTCGTTCTTGTGAAAACGTCCGCTGAGAATCAATCAGCAGCAGGCGCGGTATTTGTGTGCATCTTGTGCACATGATAACATGCACTCGCGGCGGGATCCGGTGGCCAAAGAATGATAACATCCATTCACGAGAGCATACATTAAGAAGAGTTTCCACTGCCAAAGCCTGATAACATCCATTCGCGACAGCATCCGTTATCCAAAGCATGATGACGCCCATTCGTGCGAGCATACGGTGTCCGGAGCATGCACGGCCAAAGCATGATAACATCCATTCCCGCGAGAATCCGGTTAGAGCAGATGATGATGATGATGATGATGAGGTTGACGATGACGATGACGATGACGAGAACGATGATGATGATGACGATGATCATGATGATGGCCATGTATATGCCGATGCCGAAACAAGAAGCGTACTGAAAATCACGTTGATCAGAGCATCGGTTTTCGCATGTTGGAGCACGAGAACACTGGCAGGGCCGTCAACCTAACATGGGGTGCACAAAAACACCAGGCACGCAAACGTGACCTTGTTGCTTTAGCCGTTGTAGGAGTCGTACTCGTAGTCGTTGTGTTACGAGACCAGCATTAGGAGGAGCAGCAGCAGCTGCTGCTGCTGCCTTCTTCATCGTCCCATGCTGTCGTCCAGGACGGGAGAAGGAGAAAGAATGGACGATGCATGTTAGACACATGCAACGTACTCTCTCTAGGCCCTACATTGCGCCAAGCCCAAACCACGTGGCTTTTTGCACAGTCCGCACCTCGGCAACAGCCTGGCCGACGAAGTACGTTCCCATGGCCTTGGTCTGCAATTCGAGGGTCTCGTCGGAATCAGGGGTGCGCTGTATTTGAAGGATCGGGGATTTCCGTGCGATTTGGAAGCGTAGCTCTCATCATGCATACTTGTGGCTCATATGATGTACCCATCTAATGCCTTCTATCAGCGCCGCAAGTGTAGCTAACAGACGGACCGGAGTACTGAAAACACACATCAGCACCTCCATACCTGAACTCCCCATATGCTCAAATAAGAGCTGGGGTGCCATGAAAGGCAGCACGGCGGAGAGGATGAGCGCAAGCAGCCAGCCGAGGCCAAAGGCGCAAGCAAAGCCTCCAAGGAAGGCCGACAAGGCCATCACACCTCGGCTTTACACAAGGTGTGCATGGGGTTAAAAAACCGTCGTTGACACGAGTACCCTCGGTTTGGATGTCGGGGATCTGGTCCCGAAGTGGGAGTAGTTGCGTCAGTAGCTTAGTACTTGTAGATTTGCTAGCAGTAGCGGAAGCAGCAGCAGCAGCCTCAGTGGCCATACCACTAACACTAGTGCCGCAGAACCGCGGATGCGACGAATCAGCTGTCATGGCACTGCACTTGCTGCTGCGCTTGGGGCTGGAACCAACAGGAGGGTTCTAACGAATTGACCAGGGTGCCGTTGCCAAACTTGTCTCCGAAGGCATCTTGGATCTTGGACAGGTCGTCCTGGATCTCAGCCGACAATGCCGAAACTTCCTTGGTATCGAACCAACCGACATCCTGGTGCAGGATGTCTTGAAAATACATAATCCGGAACTTCATGGTCTGCGAGTCAGAGAAGATCTTGAAGCATGCCCCCTGAAGCGTCGCTGCCACCAAAGCTCCGCCACCCACAGCACACATAGTCAGAGACAGCCGTTCCGTCTCACGCTGGACCTCTTCAGGACTTCCGCCAAGTGCATCGATGAGATCGCCGAAGATGACAATCATTAACGGTTGCGCTACCCCGTGGGCCATTGCACACAGCGTGCCCACCACCAACACCAAGGCCTCCACGGCATCCATCTGTGAGAATAGCTTGCACAGGGAAGCTTTGGTTGGCTTGGCCTTCACAGGTTCGGCTGTTTCCTCCTCTGCAATGGGAGGCGCTTCCTTACTTGCCAAACTGGCTTCTTCCAGAAGAGCCTAAGCCTAAGCCTCTGTCCTTAACAGTTCATGCTACCTCCAAAATGCGGCCAGTAAGTATAAGCGCTACCTGTACCTGCTGTGCACCAGAGCTTCCTCATCCTCAAGTGCCACAGCGGCGACTTTTAAGTCACCGCTGGGCGCCTCTGCAGGAGCTTCCTCAGGCCCTGCAGGCCTTGGCTCTCGTGTGCAGCTCTTGGTTAAGGTTTTAGGGCTTCGAAGTTTTGGATACGCAGGCTGTCTGCTTTTTGTAGGGATAGGCCGTGAAAAAACGGAAGCCCTTGAGAATCTGTGGTCGCTAGTCACTGCAGTCCACCTCGACTGGCGAATCAACTTGACCGGAACGTGGAATGACTTTCCTTTATATACTCTTCCTGAGGAAAGACCTGTCAATCCTCATGGTATGCCATCCTGAAGTCTTAAAGACGCTTCAGTCGAGAACCGGGGCACCGGAGATTTCATCTTACGGCAGACAACGTTCTTAAGTCGACCCGCTGTATTCAAGGACGGTGATCCTTCACGGGACATGGTCCTTGCTCAACATTCGGAGAATCGTTGTACGATTGATGAGTGCATACCCATCAATGGCAGCCGTGGGACACGCTCTCGATCGGCGTGGTCTCCCCCGGGATATTGACGGCATCCTTTTCCTGGCTGGCATGTCAGATGTAAAGCCCCATCAACATCTGCGCATTTTCGGGTCATGGAAAAGCTACGTGTGGGTCACCGGTACGAACACCTACTTGGAGTTTTAGCACAGCTTGCTTAGCAAATGATTCATCTCATGCGTCGCTACACTTGGGTGCTCTCCCGCACGGAAAGATCTTGCATCCGACAACCGTACTCTAAGAAACCAAATTTCAGTTTTCTGCCAGGTTTCGTCGTTCACTGCAGGCTCACAGCACTGCATGTTGCGGGACAAAGGAGCACGGAAGAACTAACAAGCTGCAAAAGCCACCGGCGGACGAATGAACAAACAAGTGAACATCCGTGGACCCCGTGGTGACTATGTCTATTGTGATTTTCATGCTAGGGGGTTCATGAATATGTCTGTCTGTATATTCTGCGTGTTTATATGTATGAGCAAGTCATAAGGGTCATAGTAGCAGCAGCAGCCGTAGCAGCAGTAGCAGCAGTCAGCAGCAGCAGCAGCAGGTTTATATAGGAGCAGGAGTAGGAGCAGGAGTGCTACAGTATGTGATGGTGATGTTGTTGCTGCAACAGCTGCTGCGGCTAATGCTGGTGATAATGTCTGTTCGTAACTCCAAAGAAGATAGTCTTAACATGGCAGGGAGTCTCGAAGATATTTCTTGTGAAAAAGACGAAACAACACCAGGCCTTCCATGGAAGAAGGTATAATGACTGCGTCTACGGAACAGTCCTAGTACATAATACGAATACTCACCATGCAACCCTCCTGCCTTCGGTGTGGGGAACTTTCCCAAACAAAGCGACTGACAAACCGAAGCATCTCCTGCACATAATTGCACATAACATCTAAGAATCTAAGTCGCTGCTTGGCTCGAACTCTCGCATGAGAAAGCTCCCTAAACGAAAGACCCCTGAAGCGGACCCTGACTCTAAGGATCCTTATGCTAGAGACCCTGGCAAGAAACGCACATTCTTTCAAAATGACCTCGCACAGGTTGCTATCGACCTCAAGGACTTGTTGGAGTGTTCTTGAGGCGTCCTGTGCTACTACGGCCGGAAACCTCTGTCCGTCGGGACATACTCATACAGGACATGGAATGGGGCTGGTTTCGTCTTCATGCAGGCATGCCCAAACATCAAGTAGCAGTCCTCAATTTGTGATCGGTTGCCTGGGTAAAAATTACCCCTTACTCAAAGGATATTGAGCTCGCTGGGCCTCACTTTGCACCCCAGTCACTTGAGGCCGCCCAAACCACTCCAGTCACTTGAGGCTGCGGCTGCTTCCACTGTGACTCCACGAGTCTCCGCTTGGTCAGATCCCTTCGGTGGCAACATCGGCCAACCCCAGCCCAGCTACCGGACTTACTCACTATCACTCGGTATTGCTGCAGTACAGCTGAACTTTCAAGCACGTTACGGTTCGAACAGTAACAAATGGCGGCATTTGCGAGGCGACAGCCCATGAAGGCGAAAGCATAAACTCCCGAAAATCTCGAAATTGACGGCGACGTACAAGGGTAGCAAAAACGGACACTCATAACTTCAAAAACAAAGTGGAAGCTCAGGTACCTATGTTGCTGCTTGTTTCTTCAAGGCCGTGCACACCTCAAGTACAGGTTTAGGCCTGAGCCTAGAAGTAATGGCTTGTGGGTCAGGTTTCTTTCGCCCTGAGGAAACCCCTGGCCCGGCGACGGCGGCCTTTGCTCAAAGGCGCTCTGCTGGCAGGCGTGTCATACCTGCGAAGACGCAACCTTGGATGATGCCACGCCGTGTGTTTGGAGAGCTCATGGCTTGAGATTGTTTTCCCCAGGCTAGTCAGGGTATTGCTTCCGCTGTGCTCTCCAGAGTCTGATGAGTTGCAAATTGTAATCTCCACATGCACGACAGGCAATGCAAGAATTTGTCCTCCAAAGTCCAGTGATTCAGCTTGTTGCTACCATGCCGTGCCACGGGGAGGGGTACTGAGGCTGTCATGTCCACTACTGGCTGGGGCAGGATTTCGGGATGGAAAACCCTGCAAACTCGTATCGCAGACGGGGGGTGCATAGTCTCTGCATCCACGACAGCTCATGTATGTCGATTTCGAGCCGTACCCACCGACTATGAACCCTTCAGGGTCTTCCGTCAGGTAAACGTCCTTACGTCTTGCCCCGAGTTTCTGACAGGCAGTCTTGCGCCATCTTCTGATGCTTCACGTCGTGGATCGGGAGCGCCTGACTTGGACCAGCTGTGGAAACTCATTGTCCCGGATCTTTAGGAGTGTCGGGTTTAGGCTTTTGAGGCTCCTCGGGCTCGGGACTATGTTACGACTTAGCAGGAGCCGGCATTCAGTCGGATGTGCAAGGCTATACTGTAGCTGCATGACTGCTATGAATCGCCAGAGTCTCTGCGGTCTACGTGGCATTACCTGCAGGCCTCCTATGTGAAAACAGAGTGGCAATCCTGATAGCATGTTGTACATCGGTCATTGCTTCTTGTACCAACGGTTGTGTTGAAATTCCTTCTAGTATCTGCCCCTATGCAAGGTAACATCCGCTCCTCGGCTTCCCTTACAGCGTGGCTGTGTGTGTGTGTTTACATGTAAACGGAGCATGCATGCATATGTACGTGCATGTACACCTGCAGTCCCTCGCAGCCTCACCTTCGCTCCCTCCCGCTCTCTGGCTCTCGCTTTCTCTCTGTCTCGACTGTAGGACCAGGACTGCAATGAGTTGTTTGAAACAGCAGGTCTTGCCTTGGACACCAGGAAAGTAAAGATCCGTCATAGCTTACAATACCACGACAATCGTATCTCTAAACGCTTAAGTATCATCCGCAGATACCCTCCCTCCCCTCCCTGCACCAGAACATACGAAATCACCCTAAACATCAACCACGAAACGCCCCGGCGCAACCCAAGAATCAACTAATCCCTCGGCCCTCAAATCAAACCTCCAATTGCGCACCTTGCGCTCAGAATTCAGGAGTTCCAGAGCTGTCTTACCATCCTGCTGCAGGCGAAGACAGAAACAGGGCCGAAGCCCAACACAAAGTGCAAAGCATAACGCCCTAACGCCAAGCCCAGCACTTGGCCTAGAGGCTCGCCCAAACTTGAACATGGCACCAACACTGCGGAAAGCCAAGCCAGTCCTGGTTTTTGAGGTTGGGATCCGCCCCCAACTTCAGAAGCACGTCCAGGGCCCCCAGGTGGAATTGGAAGGCGGCCTCGTAAGCTTTCGGCCAGTCGCGAACCCTTGAATCCCAAACCAGAAACAGGGGGGCGCGGAAGGGTCAGCATGGTGATTTGTTGAAATTACGGGTACCGTCTTGTGTACTTGGATGTCTTCATAAGCAAAATCCTACAATTTACTAGGCTGCTTAGAAGGGTCTCGTAGTGTCGGAAACTCCCGTGTCTGCGAAGCGGAGAAGCCAAGACTATCCCTGCAGCTTCCGAAGTTCTGTTCAGCAAACCCTTGCAACCCTAACAAAAACCTCTCAGTGTGTTGAACTGCTTTTAAAAACGTCCTAATTCCCTCTGAAGGGATTTTGGGGTTGGATCCACGCGTAATTGCCTTCGCAAGTTTCGTTGAACGAACCGGTTTGAGCGAAGCACCCACGTAGACCCCAACCCACCTAAACCCCTGCAGCCGGATTCCCCCTTGTGAAGCTCGACCCAAACACTCACAAAAACCTAAACCGAACACGTGCCAATGCACAAAAAGCTCAATCATCGCCCCCAAAATGCATGACCCCCTACAGGTGATCAAGCTAATCTGCACAAGGGATCAGACCGAAACCTGTTAGAGGTTCTCGGGGCAGTGGCAAACGGTCTGGCGCGAGGACTATACATGACCCTTCAGGACAGTTACACATACTGTAGAGAGCTGCACAAGTCAAGCGTCTGAGATACCTCTGCAGCATATGCGAATGCCTGGAAGTGATACTTGCTGAACGAGAAATTGAAAATGAATGCCATACCATACACAGAATCCTTCCCCTAGACAACGAATATCCAACGGTCCTTTGCGCCACTGAAAACCCCAAATCCCAAGCCACGGGCATAGTGGATCAACGCGAACTTCCGGGATTCCGGCCGCATGTCCTGAGATTGGGAGTTTTGGATCTCGGACCAATCTAGGGTTGCGAGTTGGCGGCATAAGGGCTCTAAGCGTCCTGTCTCTGGCAATCGAATGTCAAAAAAGTGCGGCTGCGTGTTGTTGAACCTTCAAACTCCAACCGCCTTGAACCTTGAAACGTAAGCTAAACCCAGACCCCGTCCACAATCCATGTCAGGGTCCTGGAATTTCGGGTTTAGAAACGCTTGGGGTGCTTGCGGTTTTCGGTTTACGGTTGGTCGCGGGGTGTATATAGGGCTGTTCAACTCGACATCCAATCTTGAGCTTACGCTCCCGCTGGAAAACTGAAGACAGAGTCGAAGCAACAGCAAACAGAGATGGTGGGAATAAGAGCCCCACCCAGAAATAGCTGCAGAAACAATCGGCTAAGGGTTTAGCAGGTTTAGCGCACCCGAGTTGAGATGCCACATGCCGAGATCCACAAGCAACCCCTACCTCCGAGGCGGCGGCCAGCAGTCGCGGGTTGCGTATCAGACCAGACTGAACTTGTTCCCAAGTGCCTGCCTTGAGAGATTAATTATGAGACGTTGCTGGAAGCTTTTTGTTTTTTTCCGAGTACTGGGCGGCCAATTCACACAGTGTACTGTGGCCGCAGGGAGGGATGTGTGCACGCCGATTGGATCCTTACCTTACGTGTAAGTCTTTGGGACAAAAGTCTGTGAGAAGGGCTTGGACACGCAGAAAAGATAAGGAGGGTTGAGAGCACAGGGTCATTGGTTTAAATCTTAAAGAAGCTTTCGTGAAGAATGGGAGGTTTTGCCGGACCAGAAACTCAATCATGATACTCTGCAAAAATCCCTAACCCGTCCTCCGAGTAGGCGAAATGCGCAACACCCTGAACCTCAACCCGAGTCCGTACTTTTTCTTGCCCGCAGGCCACCCTGAAACTGCAAGTCGTTTCCAAATCCTATGTCGAAGGCCCTCAACCAAGGCACGATTCAGGTCTTAAGCCCGTCCCCTCTGAACCTCAAGCTCAGTTTAGCGTGCTGGGTCTGGGGTGTAGGGTGTTGGCCTTTGGGTTTGGTAAATTTGTTACATTACCATTTACTGGCATTGCAGTATCGGGTCCTTTCTTGGAAGTGTGGGCTTTGAACCTAAACACCCAATTAACCAGACAAGTCCTATGAGACCAAAAGAACTTGTCCGGCCTTAGCCTTGTTCAGAAGGTCAT